GTGCCGGGTTTTCGGCAGGGGGGGCGGTGTGTTTCCTTCCATCTCTTTTTTTTTTTAATGGCACCAAACAGCCCATGGGGGGGAGTGGGGGGTGTGCAGGGTTGTCTGTCCCATGGGTCTCTGTCCACTCCTGTCATGGACTGGCTACCTGTCTAAGGTGTGTCCCCCACCTTTGGCCAAATGGCACCCGGGATGGGCTCCAGCCCCCACCATCCCAAGTAGGAGTAAGAAAGTATGGGAAATGGATAGATGGACTCTTTCCAAAGACAGTATGTTTGTCCTGAGTATTCTTCAAAAAAATGTGAGCGACATCTATCTATCTATCTATCTATCTATCTATCTATCTATCTATCTATCTATCTATCTATCTATCTATCTATCTATCTGTCCATCCGTCCATCAATCCATCATCTATTTTCTGTTTGGACTTTATGCTGTTTGGGCCTAAAGTTGCTCTTTACTTGCTCATATACAGTGGGAGAAATAAGTATTTGAGCCCTTGCTGATTTTGCAGGTTTGCCCACTTACAAAGAATGCTTATTTTTCCTCATCAGATGGTTATCCATTTTTATAAATTCATATGACGTGATTTTCTGGAATTTTCTTTGGGATTCTGTCTTTCACTGTTAGAATGTACATATGATTAAAGTTACAGATCGTTGCATTCTTTGTAAGTGGGCAAACCGGCAAAATCAGCAAGGAGTCAAATACTTATTTCCCCAGTTGTATCTCTGACCTTAGCTTGAATGTAGTTCTCTTGGATGCGTTTGCGTTGGCGGGACTCACTTTGGCCGTACTGGCTGTACTGGTATCCGGCGGCGGCCACGGCCGGGTCCACTCCGTAGCTGCTGGCGCTGTAGGTGGGCGGGCAGTACGGCTGCGAGGAGGGGAGACTGTCCACCGGCTTTATGGAGGCCTCGGCCGGCCGCTGGCTGCAGCTGGTGGAGATGCTGTTGGAGGGGGAGGAGTCCATGGTGGTTTGGAGGGGCGACATGGAGAAGTCGTGCTGGGGCTGAGAGGACACGCTGCCGGGGTTAGCCAGGATGCTCATGACCTGCAGACACACGCCACAGCCAACGTCAGAGAGCTTCTTCTCAGCGTAGAGCGGGAGGCTGTGACCAACAAACCACATTAACCATCACTACTGCTGACCATGGTGAAGAACTGTCAAAGGGATAACCATCACTGTCTGGATATTCCTTATAGTGTCATCAAAATGTCAATATCATTTCTGTTGTAGTCTGTTTTATTAAAGAATTTTGGTCTATACATGTGTCTTCTATCTTGTTCATTATCACCAGTTAAATTAATTATTCTATTTTATTTAATTATTTCTATATTTGTTGTCCATTCGTTCTTTTTTCCAGTTGGGGCAGATCTTTCCTCATCTTTTTGTGAATAAAGTCTAAGTTGTTCTGAGTGGAAGGAGCAGCTCTATGGGAGTCAAGTTCTTAAAACCAGGCCACTTAAGAGACAGGCTGATCCACAACATTAAAATGAACACAGCTCAAGAGCTACTCAAGAAAAACTCACAATAGACAATAGATCCACAACTGTTGTTATACAGGATGAGAGGACTTTAGCAGGGAGTTTTATTCACATCGACCAGCCTGCTAATGACGTCGGTCATGAGGCAGAAACTGTGCAGAGTGTGTTCTTGGACACTGGATACCAGGGTCTGTACGATAAGATTGACAACATCCGATGACGAATAAAGCTACTGCTCTCAAACTGGCCGAGACGAGTCCTCCAAACGGCCAGCAAAGACAGATTTGGTGAAGAGGGACATGGTGCCATAGGATGTGTGGAGGTCCCTGACCTCCAGTGACCAGCAGAGGACCGCATGGAGCCCCATCCTGGAGGGGTTATTCGGTCATTTGCAGTGGTGGAGAAAGTACTCATACAATGTACTTAAGTAAAAGTACAAATACACAGACAAAAAGTTACTCAAGTAAAAGTCAAAGTACCACATTATTATTTTACTTAAGTAAAAGTAAGAAAGTACAAGCTTTTAAAACCACTTAAGTATTAAAAGTAAAAGTACTTGCCAACCATAATACCTAACGGCTTATATAATGTCATTAAGTGTACCTATCGTATTTAGTTTTAATAAATCAGTAATGTACCATTTTAATGAGCAATGCTGCAGATAAAGCATGTTTTTATTGTGTGTGACAGTTTAGATTTAGATATTTTATGCTGCTCTTCTTGAGGGAGGGCCTAATGGTTATTTCCCGCTTTGGATTGGTTCAGCGGACTGATTCTGCTCTCGCCATTGGATACTTTCAAACTAACGAACAAATAAAAAAAACCGAAATGCGTATTGGATGTAACGAGTAACGAAACGCTGTATAGAAATGTAGTGAAGTAGAAAGTACAGATACTTACTGTTAAATGTAGTGGAGTAAAAGTAGAAAGTATCCATTATTAAATCTACTTAAGTAAAGTACAGATACACGGAAATTGTACTTAAGTACAGTAACGAAGTACTTGTACTTGGTTACTTCCCACCACTGGTCATTTGAGGGTGATTCAGTGCCTGAATAGTTGCCGTAGAGCAAAGAGAGCTGATGAAGTGGTACATTTCAAACAGTCAGGGCAAAGAAGAAGCCATAAGTGGGCCAGGCTGCTCTTAAAGGAGGCCTTAATGGTGTTGTTGTCAGACAGACGGCTTATGTGAAGTTCCCGGTTCCGGTTTTTTGGGAGTCAGTTGCGCTCTTTGAACTGGCGCTGACAATCCATGGCTCCGGCAGCTAAATTGGAGCGACGGTTTAGTGGAGATACATCACACGGGGGAAACCACTTGTTGAAATCCCTGTAAGCAGCGCAGCCAAACACGACGGGATTTTACCAAGCCGCACAGCTCTGGGCGGCACCAAGCTGCTGGGGAAACTGTAGAAAAGAACCAGGAAGACCTCGCTGACCTCGAAGCAATTGATTTATGTTCATGCATGCAATGATGAAGATGTTGGCTCTTTTCCAAATCTTTCAATAAAAATTGCTCATATGCTGCCATCATTTAAGCCCTTTACAAACCCCTTTGTTATTTAATCGATCATACAATTAAAGTGAATGTGTCATGATGGTTTATGAGTTCCATATCTGTATAATTCGAGGAGACATTGTTCTATGAGGAGTGGTTGACCCCACAAAATGTTGTGTTTGCCTTTTCCATGAATAAAACACTTAAAATGGACAGGTCACTGTTACTTGTGCGTTGCTTTGGTCGGTGGGGGGCAGTAAGCCTAACCCTGTTCTTTCTTTAACCTTTTTTAACAGGCAAGTACAATGTGAAAGCATATCAGATAAGATAAAGCATTTTAAGAAGTACAGAATAGTTAGTTTTATGTGCCTGTAATCACTTTAAAAATGTCGGTAGCCCTGTAATCTGAGGGTCTCATCAAGATGGTGGTCCAACATGTTGTGTTTGATGGTTTTGGAATTAGAATTCATTAGCTCTTGTTAATTAAAAACGTTTATCCCGCTATTTTTCAGTTTTTATTGAATAATAATTTTAAATCACAGAAATGTTTAGTCTTGTTTGAAAGACTAATGTCTGAAAACATCACTTCTCTTACAAATACTGCAATAGCTGTCAGTAAAAATGCAGTCGTATTGAATTAAATTAAGAACAAATTAAGACAATTTCAGTAACTGGCACAGTGCTTTTTTGAAGGATTTACTTTAATGTGCATAAATAAATAATTTTTATTGACGTGTCTCAAACCTGTTCTCTATACAATCTTACTAACATCTGCTGATTCAGATATAAAATCATTTTTAGAAAATTCTTATAGAAAAAAGAAAAATTCTAATTTGTAGAATGAAATATGCCACAACTGGTAAGCTGCCTGTGAGTGAAGGTCATCTCTTGTGTCAATGGAGGGTGGACGGTAGGGGAATCTGAACAGGCAGACACAGGAAGAGACTGTGGGGATAAGACCATTACATCCCATTTGAATGGGTCAGGAGTTTTGAACAGATGGGGAGATGAAAGGGAAACGGTGTGCAGAGGTGATGAGTTTATGTTGAAGACACACTGTACATCTCCTGTTTATTTCCTCCTCTGAACGCGTATCTCCCACATCTCTCTTTTCTGTTTTTATTCCAGCTCTCAGTTTACTACCTAGCTCAGAATTGTAACTAAGGATAATTCAGTTATGTGTATTTGACTTATCAACAGTGTTGGGTAAGTTACTTTAAAATTGTAATCCGTTACAGTTACAAGTTACCTTGTTTAAAATGTAATTGTAGTGTAACTTTTTCGATTACTTTTCAAAAGTAATGTAACTAATTACGTTTGATTACTTTTTGATTACTTTAAGGTTTTAATGAGTATTAACCCATGATTAATTTTCTCATGTTATTATTAGCTAATGGCCGCAGCTAGCAGTTCAAGGCTAACGTCTTGTTAATGATCATAAACAACGTAAATAAATACATAAATAAATCTGAGACAAGGGGCGCAGCGACGGCAGGTCAGTCGTATCCGGATACAACATTTTAGTATCTATACTTTTTTAAGTATCGATACTTTTGACAACCCTAGTCTGAAATGTAGGACATGTCCAGGAGAAAGAGGACGTCTGGTCACCCTACAGTTGGGTAGGCTAGGTAGGCTAGGCTAGGCTAGGTCATTGACATCGATAAACGTTTGTCATGCATCAAAACCAAACAGTCAAATATTAGTAAATCAATACGCTTTGTCTATCAGTGAGTTGCATATTTTGCAAAGGTTTTTCTTTATATTTTTTAAAAATTGTAAACCAAATTTGTAATTCTTAATATTTTCGGAAGTAACTGTAGCTGAATGACATATTTTCTCATTGTAACTGTAACGAATTACAGTTACTCTTTTTTTGTAATTAAATTACGTAACGTCGTTACATGTAATCCGTTACTCCCCAACACTGCTTATCAAGGAAAGGTCTTCATCACGTGCCATTAGCTCAGCCACTACATTCACTGTGATAAAGTGTGCTCTATGGTGTCCCACTGAGCATGGCTGTGGGTGGATAAAGCCAGTGGGATTAAGAATGATGTGGAGATGTTTGGATGAAACCTGATTTATCACTCAGTTCCCTCTCATCTCTTTGTTGGAGTCAGAGGGGGGGCAGTAATGGCAAAGAATTTGAGGCAAATCAGTGGCAACGCAGATTATCTGACGCAATCACAGGTGATTATTAAATCATTCCGTGCTCCCCAACAGCCAGTAATCCTGAAAATCCAAACTTCCCGCATTAGCTCTGAGGAAAAAACTCATCATGATGTCATGATGAAACATTTCACTTCTTTCAAATGATCTGTACTCATCACCAGGCCGACCTGGAAGAAGGATAACCCCTAACAATAGGACAGTGGCCTACATGTGATATCAGCACGAGCTGTTTCTAACTAGTTATTAGTCCTACTGACCACTTCTATGTCCACAGTTTGGATGTCTTCACTTCCAGTCAGTTTGATTAAATAATCATTTATGAATCCATTCCATGTTGACTGCAGCTGCATATACAACCAATGTTCATCTCCCAAGAAAATAAAGAGCAAAAGAATAATCTAAATCATTTCCCTCTGGGATTATTCAAGTATTTCTGATTCTGATTCTGATTTATTTCGGTTTTGTCTACTCAGGCTGCTCCAATCCACATCTTCTAAAGATAAAACTCATTGGAGTTTGATTGCATAGTGACCAAACCCCAATAAACACTCCTACAGTTTATGTTCATTTGTTTTAACGCGAATAGATAGAGAAAACTGCAGAACATGAGCACCTGAGCTGAAGACGAGGGAAAGTATTTGCAAAATACAGATTATTTTGCAAATACTTTCCCTCGCTCTGGGTTAATTTATGAATATATTTAGTTTATTAGTGGCAAAACATGCTCTGTGGTTTTACCCAGCTTTACAGTGCTTTCTGTTTGTGCCCTTTTGAGAATAAACCTACGTTCACCTAGAGTTCCTGGTCCTTATTTTGGCCCTGTGTTCGGATCCAGCTTTCCATGTGTCACCCTCTGCTTCAATACACCTGATTAAAATCAATGTATCATTAGTAGTTATGTGCAGAACTGAAGAATCTAAATTTGAGGAGATCTCTCTGATCTAAATCTGGTGAGTTGAAGCCAGGTATATCTGAAACCTGCTTTCTTTCATTACACCCCTGTCCTAAAACTACCCAAAACCTACTTTGACTGGATCAGTTTATTTTTTCATTCAAATAAATGAATCCATGGCTCAACAGCTCTTAAATTTGAACATGTAACCAATTTAAACAAGCCTTTCTGTCCAAACACTGCAACAGATCTGACATATAAGATGCTGCCTGTAAATCATCAGTATATATAATTCATTTGGTTTTGATTTCAGAATTAGAACAAATCACCACATTCCTGAATGGGTTGGAAATAAATAGCAGATAAATAGTGAAGCAGATGAGTCTGGCTGTAATAGTGATGAGATGAACTGCTATTTCTCGTGTGTTTTATAGAACTCACGGCAGTGAATTTCCAACCCACTCAGGCGGATTGCTCCTTGGGCCCTGTTTAGTTTCCACTTAAGAAGGAGAACATCCTGAGTGACAAAGAACAATCTTCCCTACAAACCTACCATCAGTGGGCATCATTTGAATTCCTCAGCTTTTTTTTTTCCCCTTTATTTTTGGCAGCTTTCTCTTGTAGGATATATTTTTACTTATTTATTTATTTATTCCATATAAAGCTCCTTGCTTTGCTTTGGGGAAAAATGTAAGCGGCGTATTTTTTTATTTTTTTTTCAGGCTTTTTCTAATTAACATCAACCCCCTCCTCGACTCTCTTCCTTATTATGGGAATGATGTAAATATATGTGTTCATCCTGTTTGATATGTTGACATGGGAGCATGCCAGTTGACAGCATGCCTAGTCAAAGGGCTTAGTGTTGCGAAATTTAATAGCAGTAGAGAATAACACTTGACAGTACCCTCCCGGACAGAGGCTGTGGACTGGGGGGGGCTGCAGATGGACAGCTCCAACGGCCCCTCACGCCTCCCACATTTATTCTTTCTCATCCCATTTCATTTCTACAGAGTTCATTATTAAGAGGAAGAGCATGTGGTGGAGTTGCATTGGATGGCGCAGAGCATGTTGTGGGTGGGGGTAGGAGAAGAGAGCCCCCCCCCCTCTCCCGCCCCCCCTCCCCCATCCCACCTCCTTATCTCAGGCCGACAGTTGTCAGGAATCACGAGCAGAGGCCTGAGTTAGCGAGGCAGGCAGGCAGGCCTGGGGATATGGATCAAAGAGACAGAGCTGGAGAACCAAAGCAGCTCTGATCCCCCCCAACACTGAAACCCACTCCACTCTATCCCCGCTCACTGGCTCCCTCTCTATCTCTCCCTCCAACATCAAATAGGGAGTCCAAGAGCTCCGCTATTCAAAGGCGAGCTAAACCTTCCCCTCACAACAAACCAGAGAGGAAATGTGAGCATGACGGGAGAAATGTGCCCCTCTTTACTCTGGCGAGGCGTTCAGAGGCCGGGGTCACACAAGAGGTGACAGTCTGACCCTTAATGGCCGGACACTAACGTATCTGACCTGACAAAAAGGACTCAGTGGTCGACAAAAGAGAGATATGCTGGGAAGCTAAACGTATTCATGGGAATTTGTTCCAAAAAAGGGCATTTAAAAAAACATTTTTGTAGGTTTTATAACAAGTCCAAAGCAAAGCTGTGAAGAGGTTAGTATTTACAAATGCTGCCAGGAATGGCATTTCATTCTTGCTATCTGTCAGTACAACGTGGAATTGGCTTCAGACTCCATCTCAACATGAAAGTGGACCTCAAAATTACTCCCATTCAATTTGGGAAGACGAAGCAGGAGAGACGCCTGGCTGAATTACATTCCAAATGTAATAAAGCTGTTCCAAATTGAATTATCGGCTGTCAGACCTTCAGCAACCTTCCTGCAATTTTGGAGAGGGAACTTATGAAATTCATCCCACATTGTTATCGCATGTAAATGCCTGTGAACATGATGAAAGGGTCAACCTCAGTGAGCTCATAATAGAAAAGCTTCAGCTGGGGCTCAGAATGAGCTCTGAGAGCAGCTCCATGCAGACACAGATGAAAACCACCTCCCTCAGATGAGTTCTCTGAAGATGGTTAGACGTCTATTTATCACAGTAACTAAACCTTATTTACCTCAACCCTAAAATAACCAAAGAGAATTGAAGGCATAAACAAACTGAACAAATAAGGCGGAAACAATGGAGAATACAGCAAATGAGGAGCAGAAGTCTCATTCTGTGGGTTCTGGGGAGGGAGGAGCCGACCGTTGATTGCCTCTGAATAACTTTACACCGGATTTTCATTTCACATTTCCACTACCACTCCGTCTTCTCCACACAAAGCTCATAGCTGTTAGGTTTGGTTGCATGCTGGTGCCACACAAATCTTCAGCCTCTCTTTCTCAAATGCCTTTAATTGTTATTGGGTCAAGAAGGCTAGCAAATCCATTTAAAAACAGCCAGCCTTTAGCAAAAAGTCAATGATTTCCCTTAAAGCTTGCCCATCCTTTCTAATATTACCACCTCTTAAAACTACAGTATATATTTAAAGAGTGTGAATGATTGTGCAGTATTGTTATATAAATTAAAAAATGTTTAAAGAAATTCTTCCCATGACAGTAAGTCTGGCTCAGGGTTCAGCACCCATGTTTTAGTGACACATCCTGGCTTTTTTCTACAAACCCAACATGACCTTGCCCTAAATAAAAGCAGGGAGCATCGTGGCTTTCACGTATTCAACATCACATTTGTGCGTGCACACACACAAACTCACTGTCATGTGTTGCCATTTTAAAGGTTTTCTTGGTAAGCAGAAAAATTAGGGCGTTAAAATTAAAATCAAAACTGGACCCCCGTACACATTCATATGTAACACATTCAGAGAACACAAAGACGCCATCAAAAGCCCACAAAAGGCCCCAGTTTCAGGCCTGGATGTGCAGGGAGACACAGGTCAGAGTGATGAAACCACAAAGCAGAGGAGGGATGTGATGAGGTGAGGGCGGCCAGCGTTCCTAAGGGTTGGTGGGGCAGGAATGAGACCCTAATGAGAATGAGAATTTACACAACGTAAACTCTGGGCAGACTTATGGCCGATCGATGCAAAGGGAAGCACAAGAACTGCTGGAGTTAAGCCTGAAGAACCACCTACAGAACACCACACACATGCAATAACTCCATCTCTGTTGTTAAAGGTGGAGAGGAGGGGGGAAAAAAATTTGAAACAGTGTTAACTGAACTGTCCGAAGGCCAAACAAGAAACCGCGCGAAAGCCACTCGGTAAAAAAAACGAATCATTCAGTAAAGATTATAGGAAACAAATCAAATGCTGAATATACAGTGTTTCTGACTTTTCCAGAAAGCTATTGGCTGATCTATTCTCTAAGAATTGGGACAGGTCCATGTTTCCACCTGTGCAGGATCTTTATACTTTTACCTCTGTGCTCAGACCAGTTGGTAATTCTGAAACACACCAAGAGCAAACACTGACCAGCGTGTCATCGACCTCTTTGGAGGATTTACGTCACATTCAGTGAGAAATGGTCACCTAGCTGACCTGTCATGGCCCAGTGTCTGCACCTGTGCGGCCCGGGTGTTAGAATTTGGCTCTAATTACTCACTTTAGCATTGTATGCTATCACGTGATCTATGTAAATCACTGATTGTTTTATTTTCTTTTATAACTATATTTTGTGTTGAAGTCTCTGGCTGTGTCCACAGACTCTCTTTCTCTCTTTTTCTTTCTTTGTTACACACCTTTAGGTCAACACACACACACCATTTTTTACCACATTCCTGTCATCTGCATGAATTAGGACCTGGCCTGTTTATGCCCAGAGGTAACTGGCCAATAGGACTTGGTTGTGTCCAGTCCTCCTTTGAGGGGTGTGCCCAGCCCAGGAGACAAAGACCCATTACACACGGAGTTCGGGGCTCTTTGCTCTTTTTGTCTGTGAACAGCCCAATAAATTTAATTTTTGTACTTTTGGTCTTCTCTGGTATATTCTCAGGTTTCCAACTACAGAATGGGGTTAACACGGGCCATGTCCTGTTCCCTCGGTGGGCCGGGCTCGATTGCCTTACCTGTGGGGAGAGTCCGCTGCCGGCGGGGTTGCCGTGGTTACCGGGCGCGGCGGGGCCCATGAAGCCGTCGGAGTAGCTGGAGAAGCCGTGGCGGCCGGAGGACAGGCCGTAGGCGGCGCCGCCCTCAGGGCTGGACAGACCGCTCTGGTGCATGGTGGACGGGGGGAGCGGCTGCGGGCGATGG